TCCTCTCGCTGCTTCCCTGGGTGCCTTTTGTTCGCGTTCCCACTACTCTTCTCTCCTGCAGGGCTCCTGCAGTCACGGAGCCGTTCCGCATCTCCACACCCCCAGACCTGCACACCTAACCACACCCTCGTCACCTGCAGCAGAGCTGCCCCGTGTGCCGGGATGCTGGATCCTAACGCACAGAAGCCTGGGGCGCCGCATCTCTGACCTGTGCTACCAGAAAGCAGTGATTGAAAGCAACAGAAACGCTTGATGGCTGAGTGCTCTTCCCACAGACCTGATTAAATAGCTGTGCAGAGCAAGATCGGCTTGGGCTCCACAGATGACTCAAAAGTGCAGTGGAGAGTACAGTGTGGTCACACAGGCCTGTCATCCCAGTACTCAGGAGGCTGAGGCAAGAGGATCACCCTGAGTTTGAGGACAGCCTGGGCTACATAGCAAGACCTTGTCTCAAAAAAAAAAAAAGGAAGAAGAAGAAGCAAAAATGTCAATATCAAAAGTGCAGTGGGGGACAAAGACTATGCCCTAATATCTACCCAAATAGTGCACATGAATGTCACTATCAAAAGGACACAAACTGCAGCCAGGCATGGTGGCTCACGCATGCTGAGGCTGAGGCAGGAGGACTGCAAGTTTGAACCTAGCCCAGCAAATTAGCAAGGCTCTGTCTTGAAAATAAAAAATAACTGAGGATGAAGCTCAGTGCAAAGGTCCTGGGATTAAAAAAAAAAAAATGACAAATTGAATAGTCTCAGGAAGATACAAAAAAAAAAATGACAAATTGAATAGTCTCAGGAAAAAAAAAAAAAAAAAAAAAAAAAAAAACAAACAAACAAACAAAAACAGAGCTGAGCCGAGGATTTGGCTCAGTGGTTTTTGCCACCTGCCCTGCAAGCGCAAGGTCCTACATTAGATCCCCGGTACAAAAAAATAAAATAAAAAACAGAGCTAAGTGTAAGCCTTAACTGGCATTGCTTACGCTTTGTGAAGGACACTGTAGTTCTGAGTTTCAACAACTCTGTCGATTTCTTTAGGAGAGGGCGGGAGGGAGAGGGAGAGGAGGGTGTAGATTCATGCGATTCTGCCCTCCCCCCCACAGCGAAGCCCGAAGGAAAAGATCAGGGCACATAATTGTCCCCTTTCCAATAGCAACAACTCATTTTCTTCCTGGGGGGCCGTAAGTGGAAGCTGTATTATAGAGATTCTGTGGCAAGATTTTAAAATAGAGATTTCAAGTGGCTCTTCTGGTAGAGGGCACCTAGAACCAGATTTCATGGGTCATTATCCATTTTCTCTGGGCCCCTAATCAGATTAAGCCAAGCGGTGCCGCGCAGGGGGGAGATCCTGGGTTATAACAAGAAAATAAACAGACACACATTCATGCTGCTCTGTCTAATTCAGTTGGGGTGGGAAGAAATGGAAGAGAAGCAGGAGGAGCAAAGGGCAGCTCATGACCCTAAGCATACTTGGTACAATGCTTTCCGAGAATTTGAGGAGCAGAGGTCCCCTTGCAACTGTCTCAGCAGCATGGAAACGCGGGCACTAATGGATGTCAATAATGCCATAGCACCTGCCAGGCTGGTGGCACATTCTTATAATCCCAGCACCTGGGAGGCTGAGGCAGGAGGATAGCTGCAAGTTCAAGGACAGCTTGAACCACATATTGAGGCCCTGTCTCAATGAACAGAATAATAATAACATAATAACCCCTCACTTCCCAGTGGCGGTGTGAGGCAGTGACATATCCCACCAATACCACATTCTCTATGCCATGTGGCACCAGAAAGTGGGTTGTTGTTTCTCTATGTAGCTAATTTTTTCTTGGCTAGTCTTAAGTGTTTGATTTGCATTTGTTTATTGTTTTTTATTATAATCACCAACGCATTGATTTTATTAATCCAGTTTGGGTGATGTGCTTTCCCTAAGGATCATTCCCCTGCTCCCCTTTGTTATAAAGTAACCTTATAAGGGGCCAGAGATTTAGCCCAGTGGTTCTGCCTCACAAGTGCAAGGTTCCAAGTTCAATGCACAGTACCAAGATAAATAAATAAATAAAGTAACCTTATGAGCGAGTCAGAGCCATCGTTTGTGACGACTGTCCTTTGACAGGTCAAGAGTGGCACCTCCCTGGAGGGTTGCTGGCAGGTGGCATTACGATGGGTAAAACAGAAGTCACCTCTGTCACCTGGCTTTCATGGTGACAGCCCAGAGCAGGGGGGATGAATGCAGACACAGCTGTTCTGAGGAAGGGTCCAGAGTACTCTTCCCACGTGGGACCTGAGCAGCTCGGGCTCCCAGAGACCAGGGCTGCTCCAGGGGACTGCAGGGCCCCAGTGTCTGCTGTTGGAGATGCTGACGTGGCAGTAACACCCATTCCCCACTGTGGCAGTGACAGATCTGGACAAGTGAGGGTGTCCACCACCTTCCGGGGGGAGCCTGCGCTCTGGAGCTCAAGGTGGAAAAGGGTGGAACCCCCAACAGAGGGCTGCAGAGCTCCTGGGAAGGGACTGCGGGGGTGCTGCTAGGACGAGGAAGGCCATGATTAGGAGAGACAGGGAGGGGGCAGGCAGGAGGGGACCCAGGAGGTCTCAGCCTAGAGGGCCTTGGCCCTCAGTAGTTCAGTCTGTCCAGGTAGGTGGGAGAAGTTTAAACAGAAGGTATTTACCTCCTGAAATGCAGTAAGAGTCAGCTCCTCTCTCCCTCCTGCACTACACTGTAAAAATATCTTTGGCCACCCTGGACACCAGCAGCCAAGGACAGGGACGTCTTCTCAGGCTTAAAAGATTGGGAGGGTGGCTTAGGATGGTCCTCAGCCTCCCTGCGCTACACACCAACCCTGAAGGCCACACTGTGTCAGGTTTCCCGTGTCTAATCAGCCTATCAGCCGCAAATTCCCACTTTTTCACTCAGAAGGGATGTGGGACTTTTGTTGTTGTTTTAGCCAAAGATGTGTAGTCTAATCCTAATCGTGGAAGAGATATCAGACAAACTCACATGTTACAGAGTAGCTGGCCTGTTTCTCTCAAAAATGCCAGTGAGACAGAAAGACAAAATATCAATGTTATGAAAGACAAACAAAGGTAAGGAACTGGTCCAGATTAAAGGCATTAGATATGTGATAAGTAAGTGTCAAAGATGATCCCGTGGTGGACAGTGGTTGCCCCATAGGCTGTAACTGATGACATTGGACTGCTATGATGTGCTATGCCCCCCACTCTCCAGCAAAGCTAAAAGCAGTGTGTCTGCCCCATCACAGGCTGGAACTTCCAAAACTCTGAGTCAAAACACGCTTCTTCTCTTAAGCTGATTGTCTCAAGTGTTTCTTAAAGTGACGAAAAGCTGACCAACACACCTTGTAACAGAATTCTTAAGTTTATCCCAAATGGGGAAAAAAAAAAACACATAAATGTATATATAAGAATGGTTTCACCAATGTTATTTACAATGGAGAAAACAGTATCATCTAAATGTCCAAAGTTAGGACAATGGCTAGATAAATGGTAGCACACGTACACATTAAAATGAAGATACTGTGTAGTCACTTGGAGTCAGGTATCAAAGACACTCCTGCCCACCTCCCAGTCCTCCAAGTAGTGCGTCTTCTCTCCTGTCCCCTGTACCATCAGGTGTTCCCTGAATCCCAATCTTGCACCCTGTCTTTCCCAGCCAGCCTCCCTTCTCCTGAACGCCCACAGCGGAGCCCTGGTAGAGACTGAGCAACATGAAGCTATCAACCTCCTGAACCAGTGGCTCTCATTCTTGGATTTCCTATGATCTCTGTGTGAAGCTTTTGGGCTCCAACCTTGGTGTTTAAGGTTTTTCTTATTTTTTATTGCTGCAGTCTGAACCACTTTCCTGGATTTATGTCCATGCCAGGAATCAAGACTCAGCCCCAGCGTCCTTTCTGCTGTTAGTCCCCTGCAGCGGGAGTGTCCTCCTGCCTGACAGCTCCTACAGTCTTCCAGTAGAGACTGAACAGCCCCACTTCCTAAGCTCCGGCTGGAGTTCGGCCCTTGGTTTCTGATAGCAACCAGGTAATTTTAATTGGGCAAAACTAAGATTTGGAGCACAGAGAGAGAACTCCAACATGATGAGTCCACAGCCCTCACTTGGCCTGCGGGTTACTTAGAAGTATGTAGTTTAGTTTCCAAATGTGGGAGATTGTTGAGATTCCTGTTTCTGATTTCTAATTTAATTCCATTGTGGTCAGAGAGCATACTCTGGATATTTACATCTTTTTTTAATTTATTAAGACTTAATGTATGACTCGGGATACAGTCTGCCTTGTAAATGTTACCTCCGCCGCAAGATGAGTGTGCTTACAGTCTGTGCTCAATGAAAGTTTGCTGAATTAATTAATTAATTAATTAGCACAAGTCTAGCTGCTCTAATGACTACTGAAATACGTAAGGCACAGTTCTCGATGTTGAGTGTCTGAATGAAAAAGATATGGAATAGACAAAGTTTGAATAACTTGAACTGCTCAGCATGCCAGTAAAAATTTATATCATAAAAGAAAGAAGAAAGAAGTTTGAACTTGGATGCCCATAGTGCTGTGTGCATCTCAATCAGATAAATTGGTCCACATGTCGTTCAAGCCCTCTGTGTTCTTACTAAGTTTCTCTGCTCGTTCCATCAGTTACCAGGTTGAGATTTCCAGCTATCATGGTGGACTTGGCTACTTCTCTCTTGAATTCTGTTAGCCTTTGTTTTTTGTGTTTTGAAATTTTATTCGAGGCATAAGTCGGAGTATTGAGTCCTCTTGATGAATTAACCACTTTATAACTATGCCATGACCTTCTTTAAATCCCTGATAATAATAGCCCTTGCTCTGAAATTTACTTAGTCTAATTTTTAGTGTCAATTTTGTTACCGGTTTTTAAATTTTTTCAAAATTTGTATTAGTTCATGTTTGCAGCTCCTGATGATTACATTCACTGGGAGGAGTTGGTACATGGACGTATCTTTTTAAATTTCAAAAAAGTTTATTAATACATGTTTGCAGTACATAATCATGACATGCATTGTGTTGGCCTGATATTAACATAGAAACTTTGTCTTTAGCATTTGAAAATAGACAAATGTCACTCTTCTCACTAAATTTGTTTTGGAAAGCGCTTTTTTTTTTTCCATGAAAACATTCTCTTTATGTTAAATTGCTATAGAATTATTATTGCTCCTTTTAATGGAATGAACATTTAGACATCTAAAGATTCAGTCTGAATATTTGCGGTAAATGTCATTGTATAAAACCCACACAAACACAAGCTCGAAGGTCGAGGGTCCTGAGAACAAAATGTCTGAGAAGCACAAGTCTTAGATACAACACAGCTGAGAGGTGGCAGAGCCAGGTCTGGTCTGGCTCCCAGACTCATGTTTTTCTCAAGGCAAAATGTCATCTCCAGCCCCACAGACTCATTGCTACCAAAATGGGAAATAGAACTGGATCCTTAAAGCTTTCTTTTTCAATTCGTTCCAAAATATTTTAGGTTTCTCAGTGTTTTGATATTTGTCTTCTGTGTAGTATAAGTTTGTTGTCCTTAAAACCTTAGAACTGCATTAGGGATTCAAGATGACTTGGCGGGGGAAGGCTATAAAATAAAATTATGCCCAAAGCAACAATATATTGGATTGATATTGTGTACAAAGAGAGCCCAAACAGCTGAGAGATGTCCTTTAGAAGATTTCAAAAACCAGAAGTAATTCTGATTATTTGGCTGCAGGCTCATTTTTTCTCTCCTGAGCACTGACGTTCTGCTTCGGGGGCCGCTTTGCTGGGGGACATCCTCAGGAGGAAATCCTGCATGCCTCTCCGCAGCAGTTCATTCTCAGCAACCTCCCTCAGGCTTCGGTGCAGCTTCTCCATCTCCTTGTACTCACTCCTGACATCTGTGGAGGGAGGCAGAGCCCTTCTCAGGATTCTCCAGGATTCTAAGACAAGAACTTCTCACTTGTCCCAGAAGAGCGGATTGGGGATGGTGCTTGGAGATCACGTAGTCCTTGTTTTATAAAGAACCTGAATCAAGCCAGGTGTTCTCCCTCTCCTCTGAGCGCTTCTCTCAGCACAGACCACTCTCGAAGACTTGGCAGAAGAGGCACACACACAGCAGCTTTCCCAGAGCCGTCTCAGGCAGCTCTCTCCTCCCTGTTCCCTGGAAATTGTTCTTTCTGTATGTTGGATTTTCCTCCCATGATCTGCAATCTAATCTGTCCCCACAATGGTTCGATTTATGTGTCAACGGTGCCCAGATATGTAGTCAGAACTTTGGATGTTCTTTGGGGTGAGATTTACTTTCAAAGCAGTGGCCCTTGAGTAAAGCAGTTGTCTCTCCCTAGCAGGGTGGGCCTCGGCCCATCAACTGGAGCCGTGGAGAGAACAAAAGCAGACCCTCCCAGGCAAGAGGGAAGTCTCCAGAAGGGCCTGCAGCCTGCTCCCACACCATGGGCGCTTCCTCCTGTGCAGAGACTGCCTTTGGGCTCCAGATCCAGTCCTCTCTCAGGTCTCCAGCCACCCCTTAGATGCACTGAGCTTCCACAACGTGGCGAGCAGCCTCTTCCTACGTCTACTGTGGGCTCTGTTTTCCTGCTCAGCACAGTCCCCTTGAAGGGACACTTTGGACTGACAGGGGATTTGGCTCCAGCCGTGATCCTCACTGCCCGGGTCCCTCTGCGCTCTCCATACCCTAGATAGTGACCCTGATAAGCTTGCCCTGAGCTCACAGTAGGACCCACGATGGGGCCATGACCAGGAGGGGAGTTGGAGCCACGGCTTTCTGTCTTGCTGGGCCTTTTCTCCTTGCTGCCTCTTCCACCCTGCCCGTCTATCCTACCCGGTTTCCTCAGTGTCCAGCCCTGAATAACCACTTCCCAGTTGCTTTTCTCACTGGCTTCCTATAGAGCCCAGTTTACACCAGACAGCCTGCTGAGCCCCTGGCCGAGGGGCTGCCTGCCTCAGGCAAGTGCAGCTGGTATGGTTTTCCCAGGGTGCTGCGGGTCAGTAGAGATTTTCTCCATGACCACCAGAAAATGCAGCTTTTCTGAAGGAGGCATCATTTTTAAAAAGGCTCTACAGAGACAGCTGGGCAGAACTGTGGATAGGAATTTGCCACTTTCTAGCTAGAAAACCTGAGTATTTCTAGCTTCCCACCCTGAATATGTCTGCATCATTAAAATAGAGTAATAACCTTTCTCTTTGAGGGCTAATGTGAGAATTCCAGGAGATCACAAAGTCTAAGTAAGATGATTGGTCCTTGGCTGGTGCTTGGCAAAGGTTAGGGCAGCTACCACCATCATCACAATCATCATCACCATCACCACCACCATCATCAACTTCATCTTCCTCATCATCTCCTCTACCCCTCACCTTGGAAATTCTTCCTATCTTGACTTCTCTAAATTCAGCATGGGCAGCCACAGCCAGGGGTGACTGCACGATCACCCTAGTTTATGCAAAAGTCTCCCATAGTTACCTGCAAGCTCCTTGTAGAGACCATCTCCCTGGGCCGACACCAGGGCCAGCACGGTGGTGATACTGCCCTTCACCTTCTCTGCGATCCCATTCTATGGGACAAGGACATTCAGTCTGTTAGGGCAGCACAGTCCACGGGAGATGAGTTGCAGGAAAGGCACCTCACCCAGTCCCCCAGCTGGAGAATGGGGGTTGCCAGAGTCAGTCAAGTCCACTTGGGCTTGCATGAATAGTCCAAGGGTCACCAGGGCAGCACGTCCATGGGCTCCCACCCGTCTCTACCTCCTTCCCTGCCTAGCGAGACCCGAGAGGGCCTGTCCTGCTGAGGCTGACCTTGGAAACAGGGGCTGATGAGGGTTGCCTGGAGGTGTGCGGGCAGAACAGCAGCTGGAGAGATGGGGAAAGAGGAGGGAGCTGCTCACCTCCCCACTGCCTCCCCTGCACTCGGTCACCAGATAGATGCTTGCTGGGCACTGCTGTGCGCAGAACACCTTCACTGACAGGTCTGAGTCTTCTTCCAACCGCCCCAGAAATGTCTTCTTGCTACTCAACTGAAACCATTTTCTTCCCTCTTCTGTCTCCTGCTTTCTACTGGAAAACACAAGACTCCTCTCTCTAGCCTGGAGGACTCTAGTCTTGAACCCAGATCTTCTGATTTGAAATCTTCATACTTTCTCTTCAGAGCCAGGTCAAGAGCTGCATCCTTGAACTGGATACTTAACCTCTGTTGGCCTCAGCTCCCTTGACTTTAAGACAGGCGATGGGAGATCCACTGCTCCCAAAGCCATGGTTCACTATGGTTCCACTACACAGTGAAAATAAACCGACAAGCCACACAGTCGAGGAATATATCAGAGACCATTGAGGATCTCCAACAGGATAGCATCCCATTCTTCAGTGCACAGAGCATTAAAGAGACCATTTTCTGAAAACAGTAAATCTTCAAACATTATATATGTATTTTTAAAAATCCCACCCATTATTTAAAACTCAAATATTTTAATCAATTAAACATTAACTGGAATTCTTATTTTTTTAAAAAAAAGGTTTTGAGGAATGGGACTGCACTAGGGTCTTGCCCATTTATAACTACCTACATTTCTGTGATTTAAGATATATTTGTGCATGGTCAGCATATTAATCACTTCTTAGTGGAACTGCTCTCTTGAGGTGTTTAAGATGTGATTTCTATGTGCTCCGGGGAGATCAGCTCTGCAGAGCTCGGCCCATTTCCTGCATGCGTTTGTTGGTTAACGGACTGGAACTGAGCTGGGCTGGGAAGTGGGAAAGCTCTTAGCCTGCGCTTGGGAAGAGTCCTGCTTGGTACTAAGGAGACAGACACGTCCTAAAATTGGGGAGGGGCAGTCAGAAGCAGGTCAGAATGTTCCAGAAGGTTGGGGCAGAGATGGATGGACACAACCACTGGCCAGCTGCCTCAGGTGGTTGGGAGAGAACGGCAACTCAGATTCCTCTGAGAGAGAAGAATCTAGAGCTTCACAGGGCTAGGGAGGACTGGCTTACATACCTAACACATCTTAATTCTTTTTTCACCCCCCCCCCTTTGTTCCTTTTCCATTTGCAATAGCTCTATCTCCATCTTTCCTATTATCTATCTTTTTGATAACACTTTAACTTATTTATCTTCTGGGTTTCTCCTATAAAAGAAACCATATGATATTTAAGCTTGTGTGTCTGGTTTATTTCACTTAACATATGGTCTTGAATTGCATCCATTTTCCCACAAATAACTCAAGCTTATCTTTTTTATAGGACAGTAGTACTCCAGTGTGTGAATATTTCTTGGCATTTTACCTAGATGAGTTATTTCCTTCATTAAAAAAGAAATCTGCCTTGAGACTGTGCTCTGGTTGGTCCCACCGTCTAGCTCTGCATCTCATGGGCTGCATGCCCTGTGGACTTGCTTCCCTGACTGAATTTGCTCAAACTCAGGATGGAAACAAGAACAGTACCCCGCCCAGATTCCTGAGCTTAAATGAGCTAATGCATGGGATGAGCTTAGTAGCACTTGTCAGGATATTCGAGCTGGGATCAAAGATGAGGGCAAAGATGCAGGACAGACCTGGTGCCAGCACCGGGGCGCCAGGAAGAAAAGGCACTGGGCAGCAAGGTGGAAGCCGGGCCCCGGGGGCAGGAGGCGTCCAGCTGCCCTCCAACCCCAGTGCTTGCTGCTCCCTGCATTCCCCAGGGAGCCTCTGTGGACCCAGACCCTGACTGTGCGCATCACATACCTTCAGGAGCTGGAACCGGTGCTGCATCCTTTCCTGAGCCCTTTCGAACATGCCCTCTGCCACCTGCCGCTCCACCCCTCTTCTGATGACATCCTTCATCCTCTCACACGCTTTCTTGCCAGTGATCTGAGCTGCCTCTGGCAAAAATGATTGTCACAGTCACACCACAGAGGGACTTGCTTAGAGAACAGTGTTATCACAAAGAAAAGCAAGCGAGCAAACAGGAAAATACATATCCATGTGTACACATGAGGACGCGCACGCACACACACACACACACACACACACACACACACACACACACAGAATCTCTCAATTACTCCTTCCTATATGACTTATATCAAGATCAAGATGTCTCCTCAAAAGCCACATGTGCTCCTAGGCAGGCTTTCAGGAGTAACTGGATCATGGGCGTGTGACACTGGATTAGTCTCCTGGTGGGTTTCCAGCAGGGTGTGACGTTGGGGAGTAATGCCTGGTGGAAGAGATGGGCCCCCCAGTCGGCATAGCCTGAGGGATATGTATCCTTCCTACTCCTTTGAGCTCTGCTGCCTCCTAGCTGCCATGCCTTGAGCTCTTTCTGGTCTGCAATATACCTCTGCCAGGCCCCTCTGCCTAGGAGCCAGCCAACTATGGACTGAAACCTGTACAAACTGTGAGCTAAATAAACTTCTACTCCTTTAACTTGGGGATGTCGTAACTAAAACGCTCCCCGTGCTCTGCAATTACCTGCCTCAGTGTCTAAGCTGGGCGCGCCCCAAGGACTTAAGATGCCAGGGGGCAGACACCTGGAGGGGAGCAGCAGGGCAGGAGCTGGAGGAGCAACAGGAAGACCCCCAGAGGAAGGGGAAGTGCTGCCCCTTCATAGGGAAGGTGGGCCCACCTTCATAGCAGGGCTTCAGGTCGTCCTGTACGGAGCTGGTGACAGATTCATAGATCTTCCTCTTCTTCCTGACGATGTAGCCTTCCAAGTCTCCTAAGATGGCACTTATCTAGGGAGCCATGTTAACACAAGCCATTTGTGACGAGTCCCTTGGCAGAGGAGGGGCACATGTGCCTATGCACAGCCACTACCTCCCGTGCCTCACGCACGGCTGGCTGTTTTCGTGTCATCTCAGCACTCAACTCAGCTATGAGCTCCCTGTAGGCAGGAGCTCGGTCGTGTCTTCATGCCAGGTGTGCCTGCATCATTCAGGAGGGTAAGGCAGGAGGAGCCCCACAAGTTCGAAGCCAGTCTGGGCTACATATTGAGACCCTGTCTCAAAAAGCTCCATGTGCCCGGCTCCTGGAGACCTGCACGGTTAAACCAAGCACTGGCAGCGCCCTGGAAAGGGCTCCCTTTGGGAGGCTGGAGAGGTGCCTGCCACGGCCCCAGTTTTGCCATGAAAATTTGGAGTGACCTGGGAGAATGTAAGTCACAGATAAAAGTCCTGAGTCCTCAGAACTAACAAGTGATCTGCAAAAATAATGCCTGACTTTCTTAAGCTCTGCTGCTTGGATTCTACTTCACTATACAGCAAAAATGGGGACAATGTTACAAGGTGGGCACATTTTTGTGCATCTAAGGATTCATTGAAGGCTCTTCCTGGGGGCTGAGTGAACTTCACACCTGCACGCACTTCCAGTTGCCTTACTGCGGAACAAAGCTGCTCCGTGTCCTACAACTCTGCGGCCTCCTCGGAGGAGGAGAAACATCCAGAGCCTGGACTCGGAGGTACAAGCAGGAAAAGATGGGCAAACTTCAAGCTCTGCCCGGGGAACTCGGCTTCCTCACTTCTCCAATCTCTTTACTTTAGAAGAAACTTACCTCTTGGATCATGAAAGATTTTTTGTAGCCATCATATTTCCAGCCGTTTCTCATCCCGACTTCCATCATTTTCTCCTGCAGGGACAGCTTGAAAGCTTCTATGTGAGGCATCAGAGCCAAGCCCTGGGAGTTCCCTCCCCTATCAAAAAAGCAAAGTAAAAGATGAGAACACAGGGCCAGGGATTTAGCTCAGTGGTTCTGCCACCTGCCTCACAAATGTAAGGTCCTGAGTTCAATCCCTGGTACA